AATCCTGTTGTGCGTAGTTTTATTTCTGAAATATTTTAAGTCTTGTAATCAATTTCTTAATAATACTCTAAAACAGTGTAATCAATCATGATGGCATAATTTTCTTTAATTCATAAATATCTTAGTTTTAATTCTAATTTCTTCAGTTATTTGTATTTTTATAATGATTATTTGCAAATGTTTTTAACATCCAACATAGAAATATATGTGATATTCTTAAGAAAATAGCCCAGTTGGTTAGATTTCTTAAAGTAGAAGTTTAATTTTGAGTTTGTGCTTGGGGAAGGGTGGAGGTTGGGACACGTTTGAATGACTTAATATATATTAAATTTTCAATCTCTGTATCTGACTCAAATTATTATAGTAGGTTCTACCCTAAATTAAGAAACAATCACTAATTCACATACTGATGATGGAACTGGTGTAAAATTGAATTTCAAAGTGTTATTGAATACAATACAGTAAGTGAAGGGTGCCGGATCCCATACACCAAAGCTGTGTGCTCATTGATCTCAAAAAATTTTCAACAAGTTGTATTGATCATTAATTACAAATCAACATCAATTTAGAAGGGACCAATGAGTTCAGAGATAGTCAAGAAAGTTATGTTGAATTTGTTCTCATAAATTGATAGTGGGGCTAATTGAAAACATCTCGTCCACATATATATTTTTGATCAGTTATGTTAACTTTCTGATAGACATAAGCTTGTTGAATATCTAATATTGCATACAACTTATTAATAATTCAGTGGGCAACAACCACTAGCAACGACTAAGTTTATGAAAGAAAAAAAAAAAGAAAAAGTCGACGATTTTAGATAAATTTATCCATTTCGTCATGTGTCACTGGTGCATATCTTAGTTTTAATCTCTCCTCAAAGCCTACCTCCCATAAACAATTAAAATTAAGTTTTCATTCATACATCATTTAAGGTTACACCTATACCTCTTGCCTACTGTTACCCACACAATCTCAAAAGTTATAACAAAACTATGTTGCTTCTGTAACCGCAACAACAAATAGACAAACAGTCCAACGTTTTTATAATCACTAAACAAGTTTATATCAATATCCTAATCTAAGAAACATCCAAAAGCGATATGTCAGTCAATAAAATTCAAGGGTCGATGCTAGAAATTGGTGTTGAGACCCCCATTTCTTGTTTCAATTGTGCACATTTTCTTCTTAGAAAATGACCTGGTGTCATCCAAAAGCAATAGAAAAAAGGGTGCAAAGAAACAAAGACAACATGGAAGAAAGTTGTAAAACAAGACCAAGGCGAAGACATAAACCCACTTTAAAGTTTAAGGGTTTACTTATTCAAAATATTGAAAAGCTTTTTTCTTTGGGCGGTCGAGACAGAAAGAGATCAATGTTATGTCTTTACTGTGGTCGGCTCCTAGTCAAAGGGTAGCCGTATTCTTTATACTTGAAACTTTTATGTATTTTTTGACACGTCAACCTCCAAATAGGATCCTGTACACATGATTGATTACGAGAGGCCAGAAGAGGCCAGAAGACCTAACTATTTTTTTTCTTTTCTTTTACAGAAATCAAATCTAAGTTTTGATGTATAAATGACGTATGTCTTACATAGTTGATGAAGAGTTTGACCTAAAGAGTAAAGAATCGGTAACAGGATATATTTAGGAGCTTCGAATCGTACGAGTAGAACATTAATTAGTTTGGTTCAGCTATGTCTTCGCCATTCCGCCGATTTATTGCCCTCTCTGAAGATGCGTGGTGGAGTTGTCTTCTACATATCAGTTGACCATACATGCTTCAATTTTATCAAATCCGTTAAAAAAAAAAAAAAAAAAAAAAAAAATTATGATTGGGAATGTCCGGACCAATTTACGTATGCTTTAACTAATTTCTAGAATTCTGAACTATCAATTGAATAAGAGTTTCAATAGTTATCGTTAATAGCAACCATAGAAAAATTCGTATTCAAGACCTCTTGAGTAATACACTAAAGAGTCCTTATTAAACTACTCAATCACCCAAAGATAATTATCTACTGAAATTCACTACCCATAAAAAAATCTAGAATAACATAAAGGTACCTCATAAATTAGTCATACCACGAACTAATATTTTTATATGTGTAATTAATATTATTTTTAACTATTAATTTTAATCCTTACATTATGTCGATATATTGGTTTGCAGTAGTATAGACTTTCTTCTACCTTAAACTATCATCGATTATCCAATAATTAAGCACGATGAAGTCGCGACAATACTAAAAATAAACCAACATTAGAAAATTTTTAACTTGATTCGACTGTTTAGAATATACTATAGTAATACGTTCACTAAATCAACTTGTCGCAAACAAACTGCTTTATTGTTTTCAAATATATAGCGTGTTCCAGAGAAACTTTTGCTTTCCTCGTTTTCAGCATGTAATTTAATTTGTAATCATAAACAGAAAACGCCACCAATAAATTCAATTATTGATAAGGATGCAGAAATTAATATACTGTATGTTGAAAAGACCACGAGTTCTATGTGGGAGCAGCTGCATTAGCTTAGCTCCAAAACCAAAATTTATGCACATTAGAGACGTGGAGAAAACATTACATCTCTGAAAAAGACTTCATCAATATTGTGATTTGTGAAGCTGCGGTAATCTACTCAAATCGAATCCAATAAACTTGAGTTTCCTCTTCTTCACCCACTGAACTGAACCACTCATACACTGAAACTTAATTTCTACGTAACATGACATTAATTTACAAATTAATAATTTGCAGGAGTCGACACACGTAAAACATTAATGGTTTACTAATATTTATATAATGGTTTTAATTTTTTTTTTAAAAAAAAAAAAAAAAAAAAGAACAGAGAACTTGAAGGTTTTATTATATATTCTGTCGGATTAATTTAATTAAGGAACTAATCTATTATTTACATACTGAAAATATCTAGATATTAGGTAACCATAAATTTTATGGTTGGATTAAAGAAATTAAGTTATTTATTGACGAAGATGTTATGGATTCAATTTTCTTGTAAAAGCATAATAGCGATGTAATTCAATTGATGTAGCACAGTGTTCAGATACCCTACTCGGGGTTTTCTGACCAGTGATCCAGCAAGTTCGAAATCTAGAAAGCACACTCCTGATAAACGCGCATCAGTCACTACAGGTTTGAAATCCAACAAACACACCCTTATTATTAGACAGCACAGTTAGGGTTTCTCTTTTCTAGGCCAAATTCTGACTGATTCCGAGGGTCAAAATTCAATCCAACACCACCACCTAAATCACTGGCCTCCACTCTGCAAAACCCTGCTAACCTCGATACCTAGTAGCCTTTTGTTCACCGGTTGTGACTCACGTATACTGCTGCGATTGGATTGATTTTTCTAGTTGAATTGGTTTCGTTTTGATAATTTTTGAAATTGATTTTGTTTGCCATTGTTTGGTACTTATTTGGGTTTGTTTTCTAGGTTGTTTCCCTTGCCAACGACAACCATTTGCTTTTCCTCTATTGGCGCATACCAAGTGTTCGATGTTTGCCCCGCCCAGATTCTAGCTGTTATTGACACCAGGGGGTGTCAGGCAGTCAGGTGAGGGTTAGGGGTGAGTGGGAAGGGGCAAGGGGTGTTAGAAAGTGACAAGAAGTGGTCGGTGGTTAGGTTAGGGATTTTGAAATAGTGAACATAGGTAACCCGGCCTGGAGAAGAGCCCAAGTTCTGGTTCGATGGACCGAACCAGCGAAGCCATGCTAGGATTCAGAACACATGTATTCATACAGAAAATGAGAACTCTATTACGTGTTTTCAAGTTGGAGTGATGAGTTTTGTGTATTGGGATAGGGTCATTTTATTGTAGTGGAGATTGAAAAGTTGGGGAAATAAAACAAGAAAAAAATGCAAATTTAAGATTAATTAGTCCTTTATCCAAAAAAAAAAAAAGATTAATTAGTCAAACCAACATAAGGTGAGAAGTAGATTTAATTTGCAAAGGCATTTCATTGAACATTGCGCTTATGAATGATTGACCTAATCATGCACTTAATACTAATCTTAGTGGATTAAGCTATCATTACACAAAAGCCAAGGTTTATGAAATAATCGGCGAGTTTAAAGTCAAGTTCTCAATTCTCAAAACCCCAAAGCACCTCTTGAAAACTGATAAGACCCATCCTCAGTCACTCCAACCCCAATAACGGGGACCCCACTTGTGCATGATTTTTCCACGTGTCCGAAACGATGACGTAGTTAACATTAGGTCTTGGTTCGACGCTGAAGCTATTAAATGGTGTAGAGATAATAAAGAGACGAAAACAGCGCAAGAGACACGCCATGATTTTCAATAAAGCTAGCCTTCTTTTATTTGTGGTCCTCACTGCTATAAGGTCACCGCTAGCACATCGACACGTGCCTCTCTTTTTTGTCAACTCCATTACCCATAATCCCCATGCAAATCATTACTTTATTAGTACGTGAAAAGACAGTTATCCTAACAGGTGTCAGGGGCACGTTTCGCCTCCACAAGCGCCGGTGTCTCTCACGGGAACTCGCCGGAATTTGACTGGCTGTCGGGAACTTTGAAACAAAACTTTCTCTTTTTTTTTCTATGATAGTTTGATTGCTTTTCTTCAACTTTTTTTTCCCCTTTAATTAGAGTTTGATTTTTTACTTTCGTGACTTGATTTGGATTTAAACTTTCCTCTTAGAGATAAAAAAATTGGCTTTTTAGGGAAAGATGAAAGGAGTTGTATTGTAGAAAATATTTAATTAAAAAAGTGTAATAATTTAATTATGTGGGCAGGTAGCAACATACTTTAATTAATTTGGGTGTGATTTAAATAATTTATTTGGTTCCTTGTTTTATTTGTAATGTTTTTAGTAAAGACAAAAGGTCAATCATATAATTTACTGGTGCTTTTCTGTCCATTTGAGGAAATTTGAACATATAATAAGATTTCTAAGGCAGTTTGAAAATGATAGGATATAAACAAGGATTAAAAAATACAATGACATATCAATAATGGAAACTTTTCTCTAATTAAAAATAAAAAGAAAGGGCAGGATCTTACTTCCTGATACAGTAAGCTTGAGTAAAATGCAAGAAATAAAATATTAGAAACTTGGACACATATCAACACCACCGAATCCAAAGCCCAGAAAATTGAAAAAAGAAAAAGTTGGATTAGTCTCATTTTGAAATTACATGAATTCATTAACATCCAATATATCTGGGATTTCAAACTTCAACATATCGCTGCAGTAGCTTTCCCTCTCATCTTCAGTACTGATATATGTTGAATTTGAATGCAATGGAGTTGGACTTGATGAAGGCGTCGATAAAACTGACGTGAGGCTGAAATTCTGGTTACTGTTGTTGGAATAGAAATTTGAAGTTTCAGATGAAGGATCCATTACTGTTTGATCAGACCCATAGTAATTAGTGTAAGTTGGAGGTAAAGGCATATACTCTTCAGACAAATTTGAGGGCATCCCATTACTTTGCCACTCATTTAATTGAGAACTTTGGTTGCTGAAGTTGGTAAAATTTGTTGGGAATTGCTCTCCATGGGGTTCCATTAATTGTGCTTCGTTAGAAAAAGAAACAGTGCAAGGAGTTGTCAATGTTGTACAAGCTGGAATGTCATGAACGGGAAGTTGAAGCTGGTTATCAGTTTGAACTAATTGTTGGTATTGATTTTGAGGATTGCAAAGCTGGTTTTCTTGAACATTTTGAAGAAGGAAGTTTTGGTTTTGGTTTTGGTTTTGGCTTTCACTTTGGGATGAGATAAGAGAAGTTGCCAGTCTTAAAAGTTCTGGGTTAACTATGGGTTGGACACCGAACAACCTTGATATGTTCATTTGAGATGAATTGTAAAGAGATGAGCTTAGAATAGAAGAAAGGTCAAGAAGATCAAGGCGAGGGCTGTGAGTGACTGGATCGATTCCCATCCGAAGAAGCCTTTTACGAATGTGGGTGTTCCAATAATTCTTGATTTCATTATCTGTTCTTCCAGGCAAGCGAGCAGCAATTGCGGACCACCTATAATCAAACAAAGAACAATAGAAAATTAATGAATATTATATCTTTGAAAATGGAATAATTAAACCATATATTTAAAAATAGATAAAGACTTACTTGTTCCCCAATATACTATGCAGCTGAATTATTGTCTCTTCTTCTTCAAAAGAAAATCTTCCTCTCTTGATATCAGGTCGCAAATAGTTGGTCCATCTAAGACGGCAGCTCTTTCCACACCTTTGCAGACCTAAAATTTCAAAATGAAACCACAATCCATTAACACAAAGTCTGCAAAGAAAGCCAATAAAATTAAAAATAAACATAAAAGACTTGATCAAAAAGGAGAAGACGTCACATACCAGCATTCTTAGGGAGTGTCCTCCAGTTCCCATAGCCATGGTTTTGAATATAATCAATCAACTTCTGATCTTCTTCCGGAGTCCATGGACCTTTCTTCAGGCCATTTTTATCACAACACGGTGCTCTTCCCATGTTATTCAAGGTAGTGTGATTGGTTTTGATTTAAGTTTTGAGAGAGAGGGAGAGAGATTAGTAATTTCAAATTTGCAAACAAAATGATGTAGGATCCGTATGGGTGCGTACTTGTATAAATAGCAAGAAGAGGAGGGTAAGAAAGAAAGCAAGTCAAAAGGATTCGGTGCCGTCCTCTATAGATCACTATGGCAACGTGTCCTCTTTCTTTGGAGAAATATGTCCAAATCTAATATCTCTCTTTTTACTTAGTTAAAAATTTAATTTTAAATTAACAATCTCTAAAAGTCTCTTTCTTTATCTTATTACCAAGCTATCATTTTCCGGCGGAGAGTGTCACTACTTGCTTTCTGGATTCAAATTTGCTGTCATCAACAAGAACGAGCCACGTATCATCTAATTACACATGATCTTGTCACAGGGATTCCTCGGTTTTCATCCATGCCATCGTCCATTACACGTTACAAGCTTGATTACCTTCTTTCGTGTTGTCATTTTATGGGTTTAAATCACTAGTTTATTATTTGTCATTTATATAATATGTTCCATTGCAAGAGGGTAATTTCAGAATTTTACTGAACTGTACGGTCACTTTTTCTATATAATTAGTCAATTTTGCAAGGAAGAAGTAGATTTACAATCAATGAGAAGTGACTAAGGATGAGCATTTAATACTTGATAGCAATAACAGAGTTGGGTCTTCGCCGAAATATAGGAACATTTATTGTGATCAGAGGTGTTCTCCTCCAATAAATATCAAGATATATAAACTTTCTTCTTCTTTTTTTAAAAAAAAAATTATTGATAAATCGTTAATTATTTTATTACTCCTAGTTATTGTATTTTTGTGATAAACCGTACAACCTATCAAAGAAGTACTATTGATTTATTCTTCAAACAGTTAATTAAATTAAGAAGTTTAACTAAGGCTAGAACTTAAAGAATAAAAAAATACAATGCTTTTCACTTGATATGAAGGTAAAACCAAGCAAGAAATTGGCTATTTCTGTGTGAATACAAAAGAGTAGCAATATATATGTAAAGAATAAATGACAAGTTCCATCGGTAGTCCGGAGCCCAGCGCCCCCAACTTTTGATTTTGCAATTGCATGTGACTTTTTTGCAAGGTGGCCTCAAGAGAAAGCCAACTCAAACAAAACGACTGCCTTTTGTATTATTTGGATCCTTTTAAACTGTGTTGTTTTTTGGTTCGACTGCCTTTTGAAGTGTTTCTTCATAAAGTGACAAACTTTGTCTAATAATTACAACAAAAACAAAAAAAAAGGCTTTTTTGAAAAAAAAAACACGTGTTAAATACCTCTACGATTTGAAACAAATTTTTTTTATTTTTTATTCAACAATAACAAAAGTTAAAATCATCTGACTGTTGGTGCCATAATAAATCAAATAAATTACTTAAAAGACTTTAGCCATATAATTTGTAGCATGGTGCTCTGTCTCTCTCTCAGCCACATCTGGAACATGATGATTTGCTGTTAACCAATTCAAAAACTCAACTTCGTTGACTTATGCTATATACTATTTTAATTGATTTAGTAGTAGTAATTTCCTGGGTTATTGCCACAGAAAATTTTGAGTAGACGACTAAGAACAGTACTCCTGCGCCTTAATGATAATTATATGGTTGGTTAACATTTCTTCTTGTTGACAACCACCCCAAGCCTCTCGTTTGTTCAGCGTCTATATTTTCTTTACCTCTTTTAATAAACTAAGAGCTCCACAGTACTGACCATATAATCACAACCACTCCCTTCCCTTTTCTATATATTCTAGCTTATCTTCTGTTGCATTGTATTATATATGTGAAACTATGATCTTAGTTATGTCAGCAAAGAGGATTCCATTGGTAGATGAGATCAAAATCCTATTTTCATGATATCCCACTTATGAGACAACCAACAACCCTTTTGTTAAATTGAAAAATTTTACAACTTCATTGTTCATGTAAAATTAGAAGGCGACAAAAATGAAGTTAATTAGAAAGAGCAGCTAGCTATATGGCGTACGTCCCAAAGACTTTAAACCCCAAAGTCCAAACTCAACTAATGATTTACGTCTTTACGATATGGGTCCTACTCCTACCCTTTGCTTCACGTTTTTCTTCCACAAAAAAAAAAGTACTATGGAAACCATTGAGAACCTTAAGACTATGTAATAAAATCAATTTACACGGCTGAAATTTGAGAATATTTGTCACTTTTTCTTTATATTGCTGCTGCTTCAAAAGGCTCATTTTTTAGAATTTAGACTTTAATCACAAGTTGCCATTTTGCTACAGTCCATATTTTAACTTTATTAAACAAACCATTTTTTTTTAAAGAAATTAAGATAGTGGTCGGCTCAGGACTGACGTCTATCAGCTCAAATTCAATGCAATCACATGCATCAAGAAGGGCATTCCGGTCATTTCACTTTTTGTAAAATATAATATATTAAATATTATATTTTCATGCATGACGGTCGATCTCCCATGTACGAAACCTTGTGTAAAATTCTTCGGTCAAATTATTAAATTAATCTAAACAAATTGAAACTTAAACTTAAACCTTATACGTGGCTTCATAAAAGTCGGTAAGTATGTAACAGGGGACCACATCGATGAGCCACGTCATAATATCCTCTCCCTGCAGCAAAGAGCAAGTCTAGCTTCATGGCTATGACCGTATATATTGTCTACTTATCTTATATATATTATTTCATCGAGAAATGTTAAGCCCGTCGTTTCTTTCTCACAAACTTTTTCTAATAGTTTTAATGTGATAATTTATAATTAGTTAATTAATAATAGTCTCATTTAGGTATTTTTTAATAAATTACAGTAGATTAATAACGAACTATCACGTTAGAATTATGAAAAAAAAATTATGAGAAAAAGTTATGAGTGTAATATTATTATATTTTATTTTCTACTTAAATATTATATTTACTGATTGTTATCTGATTTTATGTGCTACATGTGCAGCATGCATACTGTTTTTAAGTCCGTAAGATTTCGATTTCATTTTTTATAAACAAAAAAGACAAAAACTTGTATTTGTTAATTGCCACCTGTCTATATAATCTAGTGCGTTTCGGTAATCTAACAAGTTTGTAGCGTAAATTGAGAGACATTTGGTCATAATTTTAACAAAGCATATACATTATTTAACTTATTGAAAATGTAGATGCAAACATGGAAAACTGAATTCATGTGAAAACGCTATTCTTTCTTTGACTTCTTGCTATCAAAAGAGATGCCACATCGAAAGTGAAATCATATGATTTACCTTTAATTCTTTACATTTTTTTTTTTTTTTTTTTAATAAGAAGTTTGTGTTCAAGAACATATTTAAAATCATATATATATATTCGAAAAAGAAAAGAATATTAATTTTGTATAATTTTCTTCAATTTACACCAATTCAGTCTCATCAGTTATCCTCCATTTCCAAGGCTTAATTCCTTGTATTATAATTACATTATTTATTCTCTCCAACACATCGATTAAAATAATTTAGGAACTTCCATACGTACACCTGTGTAAATCAAACTCATTTTTGAAAGTCCATGTTTTCATATACAATATGGAAAAGTAAATTCATGTGAACGTACTGTTCATTGCATTAAAACTATCATGTAAAAGTGTCGGTGTCTAAAAAAATAAAAATAAATAGTGTATAGTTTACATGCATGGTCAAACATTATTTTATATTAATCTACTGAGAGATTTCGTCTCCCTCTATTCCTAATGTCATTGGAATGACAGTCTTTCTTGAACCAACCCCAGACTCACCTCAGCGTCCTTGTATGGCTTTCTCACCTTAACTTAGTTATTATATATTTTCTATCAATAAAATTATATAGCTCCTAGAATCACCTTTAATTTATATATATATAAGTACACGATTAAGATTATAGCATGGCCATAATCTTAGGTTAATGTCTTCGTGCGTGCAGTCAGTAGCGACACGCTAACGAATAAGAATACTCTTTAATACATAATCATGGATTTGTTAATAGAGGTTAACGCTTTAATTTAATGAATATGCTTACATCTCATTCTTGATAGGGTAACTACTTGTCCATATTTTAGGGTTTGCTTGTACATGGATTACCCAAAGAAGTTGCATACGTGTTAGGGTTGACCAGCTGATTTGGACAGAATTAAAATTTGGTAGATTAGCTATACATGCATGCTGTTAACTTAATTAATTTTGTTTGTGAGTTGTGAGGTGTTGGATTGTTCCAACAAACGTTGAATATTAATATTGATTACTATAATTAATTTAATTAGTGCTATTTCTGGATACGAGATCCAAAGCATGTGTGATTGAAGTGCCATGCTGTTACTAATATAAGCGAAACATGCACATATTTTATACGTTTGTGACATTGATTCTTGAAATTTCATTGTTTTTTTAATTTTGCTTAGTGATAACGTAGTCTATTTCGAGTCTGCAGTATGTGTGTGTGTGTATACTGTATGACTGTAATGAGGATTAATTAGTATTATATTTGTACACCTACTCTAAGAGGCCGAGAACTTTCTTTAAATTAATTTATTTTGTGTCCAATGGAAGCATTTTGGACACGTGGGGTATGGAGGATGATGGATGTTGTTTCTTGAAACGATGACCAGAGGACGAAGTGAATAATCCAGATACAAGAGATGGAAACGTGCTTCATCCTGATTGGTTCTGGAACTAAAAGTTGACTTTTCTAGTAATCAGGCGATAGACATAAAGACAGCTTGTGAGTTGCGGTGTGCTTTATTTAAAGAAATTAGTACCAAATTTATCTTAAGGATTACACAAGGAATCCCTTCTTTAAGGCAACATAACTAATCATATGCAATTAGCACAATTAAAAATGATATATTTTTTATTTTACTGAAAATAAAAAATAATAAACATGGCCCAATTAAACTTTAGTATTTTATATAAAATTAATATTTTCATTTCTAAATATATAAACAATTAAAAAAGAAAAGAAAAAGGAACATCCGTTTTGAATTCTAAATTTAGGAAATTAAAAAAGGAACTACAAAAATTTTAAGAAAACAAAAATATT